GCTGCCAGCCCGTGCTGTGTGTGTCCCCTGACAGGGGAGAGCAGCTCCTCTACGTGCAAAAGCACGTTTTAAGGGCAGAGCTGGCACGTCTGCTGGCAGCGCAGGAGAACTCGGTCTCCTTGCTTTGCTCTCCCGTAGGCAGCTTTTTACTTACTCTAACCATCCGTGCCCAGGCCAAGTTATATGGGTGTGGGGGAAAGGGGAGCCCTGTTACCTTAATACATCCTTTTTTGGATCGAAGGTTGGGCAGTGTCTCAGCTGGTGGAGCTGGACTTTGCTTTGTGGCTTTCGTAGGCAGGGCTCGGCGCAGAGCAAGCGGGCGCAGGGCACCGACGTGCTGCCTTTGGGCTCTGCCCTGCACGCCCGGGCCGATGGTCTGCGATCCACTCCGGTGCTGTGGCCCCAGGCACTGGGAACAGCACTCTGCTCTGGGATCTCCAGCCTAGCTCTGTCTCCAGCTTTGGTTGCCTTGGCTCGCTCAGGAGCAGCTTTCCGATGCGCAACCGGCTTTGCAGCTGGGAGAATTTATGATGTTGGTTATGGAGAAACTCTTTCTTCCCCACCCCTAAAAGTTTATGAGTCTCCTATAAACTTAAAGGAACTCTTTGGGAAGAAGAACTCCTTGTACTGGGCAACCCATGTTGAAACTCGGAGCTGCATTTTGGCCCGAATCGCCCTTTTCCTGTAATGTAAGCCCATTGTTCCCATGTGCTGGCACTGGCTGAGGATCTTGGTCATGTATCCCAGCGCCTGGGAGGTCTGTGGCTGAGGTGATCCAGCGAGCTCCTTATCGCTACAACATCCCAGTCTGCTTATCCCAACTTGGGGAAGGGGGTCGGAGCAGAGCACATGCTGGTGGACAGACAGCGATAACAGCGTCGCTGCCTGGCACAGAATGTCCCGTCCTTGCCTGCGCTCCTGGTGCCAGTGCTGAGTTGGTATGACTTGGAAGAGGTTGCCCCTTGGCTCTGATAGAGATAGAGCTGTTTATCTAGTGGTGAAACCTCTTGCAAGAGCTTCCAACCTGGTAAGCACACTTCATTAATCCTTGAAAATCAGAGGATCCTAAAAAGGCCTCTTGTCACAGGCTGCAGGGTCGAGGACGTGAAGCCAGAGCTGCTGGATTTCAGACTTGGGCTGTTACGGACGCACTGCAAAAGCACATTCCCTCTCATTTTTCTACTTTCTCCTTGTGTCTGGCAATAAGTGCATCAGATTTACAGCTCTCTGCAGCTGTGACTGCACTAAGTCAGGACCATTCATACCAGCAGAGAAGCTGCTTGCAGGGTTGGAAGGGAGTGGGACCCATCCGCTGAACCCTGCGGATGACGTAGCCAGCTCAGCAGGGCTGCTGGTCACCCGGTTCTTCTTCACTTGCTCTGAGCTCTGCCCCTTCGCCTCTTTCAGTGGATGAGGCCACATCTTGTGCAAGGAAACGCTGGCTTCTGACTGGTAGGAGGAAGTTGGATGGTTGCTCTTGAGTAATGTGTAACCAGCCTCTCCCAGCAGCTACTGAGTAGTGTGACTTCCAGAGCAGTGACCTCTTTTTTGGTTGGCAGTCGGAAGGGAGGAGAAGTGGGATTTAGGTCAGTCTGGTGGCATGGCATCCACCATGACCTTAGTAATTTGTGTCACCTTGCCTCTCCTCACCTGCCCGCTTGTCTTTTCACCTGGGCTGCACTCCAAGCACCTTGGTGCAGGCCCGTGGTGCTTGGGAGCTCTGCAGCCTGGGCACCTCCCCACATCCTTTCCCTGGGTGCGGCTCTAACCTTTGCAGCAAGTTTGAATGCTGGCGGGCTGGTAGCGGTGGTGTCACCCAGCCATGTCACCTGCAGCCATCGGCCTGGCCTGAACTCCAGCGTCCAAGTCAGTGCCTGGGTGGTCTGTGTGGTGGGGCACCCCACAGAGAAATGAACCCCACTGTGGGTAGGAGCAAGCCAGGGAAAGTTGCCTTGCTGAAGGTGTGTGGTTGAAGAGCTGGTGGCAGGGGTGGGGATGCTTTTGGAGAGCAGGTGCTGGGAGCTGCTGCCAAACCAGGATGAGATGCCAGCCGGGTGCTCACCTCCCACCCCAGGTGACAGGGATGCTTCCCAGGCTGATGGTGCTGTGCAGCCCTCTGGCCTGGATCCCGTGGTGGGGGAGAAGCTGATGTTGTCCCTCGGTCTCCTTCTGCAGGGAAGAAAGCTCTGTCCCCTGTCTGCCAGGGAGAAGGTGGGCCTTGAGGCAGGGCATCCAGCTGCTTGTTGGAGGGCAGGTCAGCCCCTGAACCTGCTCTAGGCGGGAGCAGAGCTGGTGGCTGCTCCTGGGGCCTTTGTTCATGTGCAAGCTCCTCTGCCTCCTGTCCTGGCAAATGGCTGCTCCCCTGCCCAAAATAGCCCCTGTGTGCTGCCAGCTTCTGGCTGTGTCCTTTGGCCCAGTTGGAGGGTCCCCAGCTCCCACCTGTCTGGGGGTGGCGTAGATGGGCTCCTGCTCCCATGGGCTGGCAGGGTCCGGGCCGGCGAGCCTGGGCTGGGTGTGCTCAGCAAGGGCATGGCAGCCCGCTCGAAGCGTTGGCAGGGCTGAGTGGAGCTGCTGCTGTCTCCTGCCAGCTGGGCCCCCGGCCCTGGCGCATAGGGGAGGAAAGCTGGGAGCTTTGTGGACAAACCTGTAGATCCACTGCAGAAGTGAACTGACAGGCAAAAGCTATTTGCTTGAAGATGGGTTTGCTGGGGACACCCAGCCTCTGCCAGGCTGCGTGGGGAGCATCTCGTTTGCTGCTTGCGTCCTTGTGTTGTACAGGGAAGTGTTTCTTGCCTTCATTCTCCTCCTTTCTTGGATTCCCCTGGGGTCATGACACCCCATGTTTGTTTGTATCATTAAGCAGCATCTTCCAGCGCTGCAAGGAGAATTGGCAGAGCCTTCCTTGGGTGATGGGTGTGCAGGCTAATACCCATGTGCTGGGGAGTGGCAGCTCCTAGGAGAACTGTTTGAACAACTTGTGGGGCTCTGCTGATTGTGGAAGGAAAACATTGGTAGCATCAGAGCAGACTACAGCCATGGCACGGGGGGGAAACAAACAGCACTAAATCAGCAGGTGGAGTGGTCTTTGATCCAGTGTTGGAACCAGCATCTCTCCCTCCTGGACTTTGGAGGGCTTCCAGTCTTGCAGCTGTGCTAGGCTGGTCTTACCTCTTCTGATGAGCCCATCGTGAGCCTGGTTGTGAGCTGATGCTGTCAGCTTGAATCATAGAATCGTTTAGGTTGGAAAAGACCTTTAAGATCATCCAGTCCAACCATTAACCTAACATTACCAAGTCCACCACTAAACCAATTAAGGGCAGAGTAGCAATTTTGTGTTTCCTGGCTTGGTGGCTGGATTATTTTTTAATGAAAGTAAAAACTAGGAATCATTAAGATTGGAAAGGACCTCTAAGATCATCAGTCCAACCATCAACCCAATACCACCATGCCTACTAAACCATGTCCCAAAGTGCCACGTCTACACGCTTGCGTGTTGGTTTGTTTTGTTTTTTTTTTTTTTTTGAAGGGAGCACGAACCATTGAGTCTAGCTGTACTGGCCTCAAAGTTAAATCAGCTTCCCCCAGGCCTCCAGTAAAATTCCCACACTGGGAGTGGACAGGGTGTCGCATGCAACTGAAGCACTTCGAGCATGCAGGACAGGCACTGGGGTGGACCACAGGGCAAGTGAGGCTGGCGGCTCTCTGTCACAGAGCTCTGGTCTCTCTTTCCACCCACCCTGGGTATAGCAGAGCCTGTCACCTCCCTGCCTGGCTGCTGACTGCTCTTCTCTTCTGCAGAATCATCAAAACTGTGGTCAAGACCTTCAAGTACTTCTTCGGCCTGAGGTTTGAGGTGAAGGGACTGGAGCACTTTGAGGTGGAGGGCCCTGCTATCATTGTGTCCAACCACCAGAGCACGCTCGACATGATGGGTGAGGAGCTGGTGGGAGGGAGGGAGCACGTGTCTTGGTCATCATCAGAGAAATCCTGCTCACATCTCCTGGCCAAGCAGCCCCTGCCCTGGCCGGTCTGTGCTACCAAGCCCGCTGATCCAGCTTTGTGTCGGCGCTGGGTGCAGGAAGGGTCTCCCCTCACTCTGAGCAATCGCACGCCTGTGCAGCACCCCAGGTACTGCTCAGCTTCAGGTGCTTCTCAGCTCCCTTTTACATCCCTGCCTGGCTGGCTGTCGTGGTTTAGCCCCAGCCAGCAACTAAGCACCACGCAGCCGCTCGCTCAGTCCTCCTACCCCGATGGGATGGGGCTCCGAACTGGGAACCCCAGCATTTTGGGATCCCGATGGTCCCTGAGCGCTGGCTTTGCTGCTCGGCATCCCGTGACGCCCGCGCATCTGGGCACCCATCGCCGGGTGTCGTGGTTTAGCCCCAGCCAGCACTAAGCACCACGCAGCCGCTCGCTCACTCCCCCTACCCCAATGGGATGGGGGAGAGAATTGGAGGAGTAAGAGTGAGAAACACCCCTGGGTTGAGATAAGAACAGTTTTAATAATTGAAATAAAGTAAAATAGTAATGATAATAATAACAATATAATCATGATAATAATAATGATATACAAAGCAAGTGATGCACAATGCAATTGCTCACCACCCGCCGACCGATACCCAGACAGTTCCCGAGCAGCGATCGCCGCTCCCCGGCCAACCCCCCCTAGTTTCTATACTGAGCATGACGTCATATGGTATGGAATAGCCCCTGGGGCAGTTTGGATCAACTCTTCTGGCTGTGCCCCCTCCCAGTTTCTTGTGCCCCTGGCAGAGCATGGGAAGCTGAAAAGTCCTTGACTAGCATAAGCAGTACTTAACACGCTGATGTTTTTAGTTGTTGCTATCAACATTCTTCTCCTACTAAATCCAAACCACAGCACTATGCCTGCTACTAGGAAGAAAATTAGCTCTATCCCAGCCAAAACCAGGACACTGGCCTAGCACCTGTGTCAGCATACTGGGCAGCCAGGCATGGGGGGTGGCACTGTGGGGCCGAGGAGTAAGCTGCCTCCTGAGGGGTCTGGCCATGACCTGCAGCCACCCTGCCCCTGTATTTCTGCTGTGTGCTGAGTCTCCACCTGCTCTGTCAATGGCAGCAGAAGCCAGCAGAGAAACAAGGCACTGTCCCTGGTACTCCCTTCCCCACTCAGACTGTGTCTCTTGTCCCATCCGAGTGCAGGGTGGGAGGGTGGCGGCTGCTGGTTCTCACCCTCTGCCATCACTTAGGGCTGATGGAGGTCCTGCCCGACGACTGTGTCCAGGTGGGCAAGAAGGAGCTGATGTACGCCGGCACTGTGGGGCTCATCATCTACCTCGGCGGTGTCATCTTCATCAACAGGAAGAGCACCACCAGCGCCAAGATGGTGATGGCAGAGGTGGCCAAGACTATGGCAACCGACAAAGTGAGTGTGACTGTGGCGCGGTGGCATGTGTCTGGGTGTCCTGGGGTGGCATGGCGGGCATGCGGGACTCCTCGTGCTGGCTTGCCTGAAGTTTCAGCCACCTGCAGCTCTTGGCAAGGCTGGCTGGTGGCTCGGCCAGCAGGAAGGGAGCGCTGCAAGTGGGTTGCTGGAGCAGAGTCTTGTCTCGCCGTGTGCAGGTGAAGGTGTGGGTGTACCCAGAGGGCACGAGGAACTGCACGGGGGACTTGCTGCCGTTCAAGAAAGGAGCGTTTCACCTTGCTGTCCAGGCACAGGTAACAGCACTTTGCTCCTGCACGGGGACGCTGAATGCTTGTTGCAGTGGCATTGCAGACTGGTCATGCAGTGGTATGGTTTATTTGCTCTCAAGTGAGCCACGTTCCCAGGTCACAGCTCAGCTAAACCACCCTTAGGTGTCACAAGTGCTGCCCAGCAGGAGCCGAGAGCCTTTTCCATCCCCTGCAAGAGTGACTTGACCCCTGTGGACAAGGGGCTGCAGAGAGTGGAGAAGCTGCCCTGTCCTCTCTCCTGACAGCCCCAGCACTGCAATCCGTGTCCCACCTGGAGGGCAGAGCACGGGACGTGGGCACAGTTGACCCCCTGGCTCTCAGCTTTGCAGGCAGCCGCCTGGCAGCGCAGCGGAGCGGTGTCTGTGCCCTGCTCCTGGGAGCACGGCTGTAGCACAGAGCTTGCTTCTGGCAGGGAGCCCAGCAGGTGCTGCGCTTTCTGACCTTGCCTGGGGAGATCCCAAAGCTGTTGATGCATTTCTCAATCCCCCCAGGTTGCAGTAGTGTAGCGTTGATTCAGGATTGTTAATGCTAATGCTTTAGAGAAACATCTGGCCTTGCTCTGTGTGGAAATAGCTGCTTGCTTCCAGACAGCCATATGGCACTTCTTGGTATGTCTTAAATGCCTTCTCTCTCCAAAATGACAAGAGCCGTGAGCAGTTAGTGGGGGAGCAGCCCAACAGCTCCCTGGCTTTGGACAGCTAGAGCTGTTGGTGCTGTGGAAGGAGCAGTGGTGCTTGTCTGGGCAGAGCTCTGGGGCAGTGTGCTGGGGACACCAAAGACCTGGCTGTGCTGATGGTGCCCAGGCTGCTGCTGGAAGCTCAGCCACCCTGCTCAGCTCCCAGGTGCTGGAGGCGAGGCGCCAGAGAGGCGGCTGGGAGGAGATGGGTGCCTCACCTTCCCATGCATGCTCTGCCTTGCCTCTCAGGACTGGGATGACTCAAGGCCTGAGAGGAAACTGGTTTTCCTAGAAGAGGTGGCGTAGCAGGGATCCTAGAGAAGGAAGTAGGTGCCAGATCTCTTGCTGGGTTCCATTGGCCCAGCCCAGGCTGTAGCCTGTGTGTACCATCCACATTCCTGCCAGGGCGATGCAGCCAAGGCAGGTGCTGGTGGCTGCTAGAAGGAAAGGGCAGCAGTGGAAATGGTACCACCCCTGCTAACACTCCCCTGAGTCACCAGGTGTAGATTGCATCTGTGTTATCAGCACTGAAATAATGACTGTGCCTGCCCTCCCGGCTGTGTCTGCCTGTCTGAAGCTTCACTGGGAGCAATTGATTGCAACTGGTGACTCTTTTTTTTTTTTTTTTCCTTTTTTTAGAAGCTGAAGGCACACCAGCTGGCCTGCGCCAAACATGTGCTTGTAGAGCATGGCAAGGCCTTTCAAAACAGGCATCCTCCAATGTTTGCAGGTCAGAAAATGCCCAAGTCTTGAAGCCTGGCTTGGGATGAGGAACCCCAAGAGCCAGTGCTGACCCGAGGCTGAAGTCTAACTTGGCCCTAGTGCCTTGAATGTCCCTGTGCCTTGAGTTGCTGGGGAGTGGTTTCGATCCCATTTGACTCCTGACTGTCCCAGCCTTTGGAAGTGGGTCTTGCTTGTGGGGCTGTGTGTGCCCTGTATGGCTGAGAGCCAGGCCAGGTCAGCTCTGCTGTGTGGTATTTGCTGCTTATCTGTGGCCTGCCCTGAGTCATGGCAGTGCAAGTAACTCCTTTTTTTCCTCTTCTTCCCCAAGGTCCCAGTGATCCCCGTGGTGTATTCCTCCTTCACCACCTTCTATAACCCAAAGAAGAATCTATTTACATCAGGTACCAAAGAGCCTGAGGGCCTTTAGTCACTTGGAGGCAGGGTTGATGCCATACCCATGTGGAGATCTGGTTCACAAGGGTATGGGAGGGAAGCGGAGCTGGGGCGAACAGGAGTCGGTTCAAAGCACTTGGCACCAGAGCCTGGGCTGGGTTAAGTCAGGAGAGAATGTAGTTGAATATGGTGAGGATGTTTTCATTAAAAATTGGATACTACCTCTTCCTCTTGTAACTGGCACAGCCCAAGTCGTTTGGTGAGGGCTTGGGGAAAGAAGCAAGCATGCCCTGCCTCCTGACCTCTCAAAGCAGGGACCCCCCCCCTGCAAGCAAACCACGGAAGCTGGTCGTTTCAAACCTCTGAAGTCTGGCAGTGCAAGTGCTGGGCAGACAGCTGGCTTTCAGCCAGCTTGGAGCAGTACCTCTCATTTTTGGGGAAGGAAGCCATGCTTGCCATGCTCCCTGTGTGGATGGCTGGAGCGCAGCCAAAGGTGGGAAGGTTGGACAGAAGGAGATGGAGGGAGCACCTGGTGCAGGCTGTGCCCGCCGTGGCCCTGGAGCTGAGAGGTCCCATGGCCCTGGGCTCCCCCTGTTCCCTTGGTCAGCAGGTGGGGACACCGGCCTTGGAAAGGGCCGAGCTCTGGCTGGGGTCTCAGTTTGGGGCACCAGGGAAATGCTCTGCTTGGCACAGCTGTTAGAGGGCAGGGTCTAATCCCCGGAGCAATCTCTGACCCCTGAGACCAGTGCAGCCTCTGCCTGCGCTCCAGGGGTGGATGCCTGAAGCTCTGTGAGGGGCTGAGGGCTGTGCTGGGGCTGTCCGGGGAGGAGCAGGGGTCCTGGGAGGGCAGAGAATGGGGCTCCTGTGGTGGGGGGGGGTTTCTCATAGGCTCTTGTCTTGTTCCCAGGCAAAATCAAGGTTGAGGTCCTGCCTCCAATACAGACCAAAGGCCTGACATCAGACGATGTCTCTGACCTCACTGACAGATGCTTCCGCACCATGAGGGAGACCTTGTTCAGGCTGTCGGGCCGTCCAAGCGAGGCAAAGGACTCGTCCTAGACGCTTCTCCATTGGCGTCACCATGTGGTGGTGGCTGAAGGAACCTGTCTGTTGCCAAATACCGAAGGAACTTCCTCTGCAGTGACTTCTAACTCTGGGAACACCACGGACTGGCACGCACGGGGTGTCGAGCCAGCACTGAGGTTCCCCGTTGAGTGGATTTCTCTTATGGGTTCATTATCTTGCAATGAAATGTCTCCTTTTTCTGAATTTCTCAGGCATCAAACTTGTGCTACCAAAGGGCTCAATGACCAGAGAGGTGAGTTCCCCTAGCTCAGGCAGCTGGCGTGCTGCTCAAACAGGGCTGAGAATCGGGTGAAAATCCAGACTCTGGCTCTTCGGCAGCACTGGGAGTGCGGCATCCTCCCTGGGCAGCCCGGAGCACTGCCGTCCGGCACGGTGGAGCTCACGGGCGGTCTCTGGGGCAGGGCCTGTCTCCTTGAGAGACACCTTTGGGTCACAGCAGCATCTTCTGTTGGGGCTTTGTGTTGCCCAGGCACTCCTGAGCCAAGTCTTCTGCTTCTGAAGAAAGCACCTAGGGCCAATAACCTCAGCTGGGCTGCGGAGGGGAATGTGTGGGGCCAGTCAGCCTTATAGCGTCTCTTCGGGCTCGATTGCCTCGTCTGAACAAGTGCCCTTGCTCACTGAGGGGTGCAGCAGTGGAGGGGAAGCTGCGGTCTGACCAAGCCGCTGTATATGATCTGGGCAGAGTTTAGCTGAATGCTGTCCAGCCTTGCTACTTTAGTCCTCTTCTGATGAAACGCCACGCTTGTTTGTACCGTTCAGAGCCACCAGCTCGATTTTTAAAAACTGCACAGAGCTGTCAGAGTCCTGGACAAACCCGTCCTCGCATGTGGCTCGTTCGTGGCGCACCTCCGGATGCCGCGTGCGACAGCTCAGGGGTTGTGGCACGCACCCGGCTTGGCTCAGAGCTTCCTTGGCGTTGCGAAACTGCGCTGCCAGCTCCCTGCCGTGGTTTGACCTTGTCACGGTAGTGCCTGCAGCGCTGGTCACAGGCGCGAAGGGCTCAGTCACGCTTGTTTTGCCACTTGTCATGGTCAGCAGTGGCCGAAAGATGGTGCATGTCCCGCGTGTCTTTGTGCACATCTCGGTGGAGCTGCTGCTCTGCAAAGCTTGTAAAAACTCCCGCAGAGCTGCGGGGTGGGTGAGCTGCAACGGTAATGGGGCTTGGAAGGCTTCAGCTCTCCCTTTGGGGGGAAATGGACTCCTTCCCCTGTTCAGATAAAGGGGTTTCCCCCTGTGCTTTGGGGTGACGGACCAGCGGGGCTCCCGGATCCCTCGCTGGGAGCTGCAGAAGTGGCCGTGACCTCTGCGAAGAGCAAGGCTGGGTCAGGCCCATGGTTGCAGGGGGTAACCTTCACCTCTAACTCGGGTTCGAGGAGGCTTTAGCTCTCCTGTTTGCGGCACAGGGTGTATAACCTTGAGATAAGCCGCCTGGGGCTGCTCAGGTAACCGACGCAGCTGGCTTTTGCAGCCTGTCTGGGGGCTGTGTTGGTGGAATTGCGGTCACGTGGCATTTTGGGGTTAAAGCCTTAACTGGGAAAGGCAGGGATTTCCCATAGAGCCAGTGAGGGAGGGAGCTGGTGCTGGCGGGGGCCTTACAGTACAGACTCAGGGGTCAGACGCGCCGTGGGACAGGTCGGGGTGGGAGGATGGGAACCCAACCAGCACTTTGTAAGAGCGGCAGGTAAAGGGCTGTCATGGAGGTTAAACCCAGGAGGGTCCCGGGAGGGCTCCTGGCGGGGGGATAACCATGTCCGTGGAGTGACTTCTGCAGCATCCTTCCCTGGGAGGAGGGAGCGGTGCCTCTGTGTGCAGTTATCTGCTGTTCGCTTTTAATTGGGTTGAGAATAATGTTATGTGCTTTAAAAAAAAAAAAAAGAAAAAAGAAAAAAAATACACCTTTGGCTATTTAAATAAAGGAGACTCCTGGTCTTGTGTGGGAGCTGAGGGAGGAGGGCTGCTGCGGGAGGAAGAAGGGTGCTGACCCTTCAGCTCTTGCAGGGGGTGGGTTTGGTGACTGAGGGGGAGCGGCAGGTCCTTGTCCCCACCCTGTGTCCCCCAGGCAGAAGGGCCGTGCTTCTGCACCCCAGCCTCACGCGGAGCCGCAGCCTGGCCTGAGCGAGGATGATAAACGCCTGCAGGGACCTGTCGCAGGGGAAGAGGAAGGTGCTGCCTGCGTGGATGGGAGCCCACATCAAAGCAGGGCCCTGGAGCAAGCGGTAACCATCCCACAGCCTCGGTGTGCAAAGCAGGAGGCTTTATTTTGGTCTAACCCCTGCAGCACCCCATTGCCCATGCAGCTCCTCCTGCAGCTCCCCTCTAGGCAAGTAGGAAAGTGTTGTAGCAGGGCGGTCACATCTGTTCTGCTGCACTCGTGTCCTTGGGCTGGAGCAAATGGTGCTGGCGGGGGGGTGGGGGCATGCACCGCGG